ATAGGAGAGGAGATGGAGATTTCAGAAGATCGTCTGCTTTAAAAGATCGTTGTTTGCTTCCTCCAGGTAAGTGAGAAATTTATTATTTCACCTATGTATTAAATAAATTAAGATGATACTTTAAATTATTTTATATCTAATATTACACTTCATTATATTATTGTTATCTAATCTACAAATTAGATGAATGGTGGAGATTATATGGTAATCATGCTCCAAGTCTACAAAAGCTTACCATCCGAGTTTTGAGTCAAACTTGTAGTGCTACAGGATGTGAAAGAATTTGGAGCATATTTGAACATATTCATTCAAAAAAGAGGAATAGGCTTGAGCATAAAAGACTTAATGATTTAGTCTATGTCCACTACAACTTGAGGTTGAAGCAAAGGTATTTTCACTTAATCAAATACATTATTTGTTACACTACTAAATCCAGGTCTTGATAATAACTTTGTTTTGTGTAGAAATATTCGAAGAACATGTTACAATCCAATTAACTTTGAAGAATTTACTGAATTTGCTGATTGGGTCCTTATGGATGAGCTACATGAGTTAGACACAGAGGAGATTGACTTATTAAGGGATGGGTTAGCTGCTTGTTCTATTGAAGATGTTAATGAAGGTATATACAAAACTCATAAGAAATCTTTTTAATAATTTCCTATGATTATCTTTAGCTTTTAATTATTATTAGTTATTTGTTGACATGATTATATTTTTGTAGAAGCAGTAAATTTAGATGTTCCAAATGAAGAACAAGATGATGACAATGGTGAAGATGGAGATGAGGATGATCCTTTTGATCGTATTCACGAGTTGAAAATTACTCCAGAGTTTAATTATGTCAACAATATTAGCATTTGAAGTGTTTGTTTTAGACATTGCTTGGTCTTGTTTGATGACTTGTATTTCGATATTCTGTTATGTTAGTTTTTGACATGTAACACTCTTAAACTTACTTTTTTGGGAACTATATTCAAGAATTTGGTATTCTAGGAACATAATAGTTTGATTTGTAGTAAGAAATATGTGTAAATATAGTGTTTTAAAAAAAATGTTCAAACCGCCGGTTCGACCACTCGAACCACTGGTTTAACCGGTGAACCAGTGCCTCGGCCGGTTTGGTCGTCGGTCCGGTTATCAAAACTATGCTGTAAACCGTATACTCCACTCTTGGAGTCGTTTGTACGAGTACGGGTGCCTAGGTCAAACACTCCTTCAGCTTCTCAAAGCTCTGTTGACATGCATCGGTGCATTCAAACTTCACATCCTTATTCATTAACTTGTGCAAAGGTGAAGCTATCCTCGAGATATCCTTCACGAATCGGAGATAATATCCTGCCAAACCAAGGAAACTCCTCACCTCTCGTGCATTGCGTGGAGTCTTCCATTCCGTGATCGCCAAGATCTTACACGAGTCCACCTTCACTCCTTCAGCCAAGATGACGTGGCCAAGGAAAGTGACCTCGTGCAACCAGAACTCACATTTGGACAACTTGGCATAAAGTTTCTGTTCTCGTAGAATGCTAAGTACCGTGCGTAGGTGCTCCGCGTGCTCCTCACGCGTCTTGGAGTACACCAAGATATCATCGATGAAAACGGCCACGAACTGATCAAGGTACTTACGGAACACACTGTTCATCATGTCCATGAAGACAGCCGGTGCATTGGTCAAACCAAAAGGCATCACCGTGAATTCGTAGTGACCATAGCGGGTGTGGAATGCTGTCTTAGGAATATCCTCCATTTTGACCGGAATCTAATGGTACCCTCATCGCAGATCAATCTGGGAGAAGACTGTGGCTCCTCTCAACTGGTCGAACAAGTCATCAATGCAAGGAAGAGGGTAACGATTATTGATGGTGACTTTGTTCAGCTGACGATAATCGATGCACAAACTCATCGATCTGTCCTTCTTGTGAACGAACAGGACTGGTGCGCCCTAAGGGGTCACACTAGGACATATGAAACCCTTATCCAAGAGCTCCTGCAGTTGAGCTTTCAGCTCCTTCATCTCTGCAGGGGCCGTGTGATAAGGTGTGATGGAGATGGGTCCCATCCCTAGAACCAAGTTGATAGAAAATTCCACCTCCCTTGGGGGTGGTAGAACTGGCAGCTCGTCTGGAAAAACGTAAAGGAAATCGTACACCGTAGGAATATCCTCCCATCGGGGTGCCTCAAGCTGCGTGTCACGAACAAGGCAAAGAAAGGCCTCGCATTTCTTGCGTATGAGGCGACGAGCATGCATATACGAGATGAATTCAGGAGCTTTTGGGAAAAGCTCGCCACGGATCAATACTTCACTACCGTCTTCATCTTTAAGTCGTACTGTATTTGCGCCACAATCAACTACAGCTTGATTGGCCGTGAGCCAATCCATGCCCAGAATAACATCAAATTCTCGATGTGGAAGCTCGATCAGATTTGCATGGAAACTCTTCCCTTGCACAACTAACGAACAGATACGGTAAATTGTTGAATGTATGTAAGCCCTAGAGGCCAACTTATCATTTGTATTTGAATTATTTTAAGAATAAAGGCTTTGAAGAACGTTTAAATAATCTCGTGTACTTTAGACATAGCTTCAGTCCATAGATTAGTGCTCTAGTAACATAGATAAGGACTACGATGTTCTTATTATGAGACTGTTACAAATATAGAGACTAGATCTAAAATATCCTTAGTAGAATATTATGATAATACAGACGTCATAATATATATACAGACTAATACGTGTGAGATGAGGTAGCTGCGTCTCATAAGCTATAGATAAAGCGTTATCTGAATCTATGACGAAGCTAAATATAGCGGTAAGTCAACAAATAACCGAGTTAGACTCGGGTCGTTCTCTCCAGGAGTGATGAAGGGAATAGTTAGTTTTATTATTTATCACAGGTAAATTTATAGTCTAAGAAATGTGAAATAATAAGAAATAAAGCGTCTAAAATAAATGATAAAATAACTTGAGGAGTTAAGATCGGAACGCGGACATAACACACAATCAATAATTTAGAAACAGGTACGAATCGAACAGGTATATGGGCTAAGATAATAATTTTGGATTAAATTAACTTCTTAATTAATTTGATTTTATATCATTAACTTATCCATTTTTCAAGCGTCATTAATGTGTCTAAATATGGTTGGCTAGATTATTTTTCTTAACTCTTAGACAAGCTAGATAAATAATCTCCAAAGATTAATTAATAAATTGGCCAGATCTATTAATTAGTGAATCTCATTTTAGACAATTGAATCAAATTAATCAAGTTACTAACTTAATTTTAACTACTAATCATTAGCCCATACCCTTAATTCAATTCATACCTTAGTATAAATTTAGCCACTAAAAGCCATAAGTACACAATTTAAACTAAGCAATAAAAGATAATTTTATTAATAAAGGAAGAGTATACAAGAAAGCTTACAGATTTTGAAGAACAGAATACAAATCTCACAAATCTTCAATTCAACGCTCTAAGATGTTAAAGAAGAACGCTCAAACTCAATAAGGGTGAAAAGTGGAATTTTTGGGGGTGATTCAAAGACTTGAAAATTAACTTGGAATGATGAAATTTAACCCACTCAAATTTAGTACAATATTTATAAGTAAAAAGTGAAGATTTTTGCCCCAAAAAGGGGAAGAACCGATTGGAGAAGCCTTGAAAAAGGGGAGGACGTCGCTGCCATTTATAGGGGGGAGAGGATCGACCGGCGGACAAACCAGCGGCCGCCGGCCAGCCCGCCGCTGCCGCTGAGGAACTCTCCAGATCTCGCCGGACTACTGGTCGCGGTCGACAGGCGGGCAGGTAGGCTGCAGCCTGCCAGCCCGCCGGCGCTCCCTCTTGCCGCTGCTGATTCCGTTGTCCGCCGCCGCCAACCTGACTGGCGGCCAGGTAGGCTGTCGCCGGCCAGGCCGCCTACTGTGCCGCCCTGGTCCGTCGATGCTATCCTGCTTAAAATCTCGTTCTGAACACTTTTTCCTTCTGCACCGACTTCTAATTCCGCACTGATTGTGAGATAGAATTGTTTTTCTATTAAAATTTACTCTTTTTATTCCATTCTTGGCCCAATTTTACATATTACTTCAAAAGTATTCTGTTTATAATCAATTTATCAAAACATATGTTTTTGATAAAAAAGAATAAATAATTTATTTTTTTGATAATAAAAATGGTACAAGAACAAATTAAATATGAGTAAAAAGATAAGTACAAAACGGACTTATCAATCTCCTCACACTTAAACGTTGCTTGTCCCCAAGCATCTCATCATCTACCAACACAAGAATGAAGAAGATTGTTTGATTATATTCGAAGATCCTACTTCCTTGCAATAATCAGTTAATTTCATTAGCATTAATTACTTCATCTTTTTCTTTATATTCCAACAACTAAATATCTCATCACTCATTTCAAACATTTAACAATGAACTTATTTAAAAGTTTGCGTGAGTAAGTTTTTCTTCCAAGATTTCCTAAGGTCAGTAATTAATAACGATTTGTAGTCTCTTGGTCCACTTATCTCAATTAATTAACTTATATATTTTTTTTTGTGAGTTATCCCATAATGCCCCTTTTATTGCTTATGAATTGATTTTTTTTCTTTTAATAATAATAGAAGGGCAGAGCTCCAAAGGAGATAGGATACTCAATGCAGCACATAAGCGCAAACAATTAGAACAATTGTTTGGGTTGTGGGTTTATCCCATTACATATGCATACTTGCTCCCTCGCTTTATGCGATTCACGGGAGAAGCAGAGCTCCTTTCGGAGATAGGATTCCCAATTCGTCACTAAAGCGCAACCCTCACAATTATCTTTGTTTATTTAATAAAGAGAATGTGACCAAAAGACTTATAATCGTTATGTAATTAACAACCTTAAGTTACTCAACTAAAACTCAACTCATGCACAATTTTAAATAAAAGTTCATTGTTAAATTTAGAAATGAGTAAATGATTATTTAATTTATTAAAGAATAAAAGAAAAATGTAAAGTAATTGAATACTAAATTCATTAATTGATTATTGATCAAGAAAATCATTTTCTAGAATATAATCATACCTGATATTCTACCCCCTCACACTTAAGCTGGACCTCGCCCTCGAGGTCCAAATGCGGGATCCAAGTAGAAAAATCAAAGTATGTCAATCTTCCTCACACTTAGTGTGAAGCATATGATGAGAGGCAAGATTTTAATGATCATAAAAAGTTAAAAATTTGGCCAAGATTAGAAATAAAAAGCTATTTTTAATAGAACATTATTTTATGCATTAAAACACTTTTTGAGTGCGAAAACTGGCAAGGCTCATTGTGATGGCTTCCATTCGTTTTCCCTGCAAAAGAAAAGAAAACAACAAAACAAAGGAAAAACAACAACAAGTGCACAGTGTGTGAAAGTGTGAACAAGAATTATTATTATTATTATTATTATTATTAATATTAATATTATTATTATTATTATTATTATTATTATTATTATTATTATTATTATTATTATTATTATTATTATTATTATTATTATTATTATTATTATTATTATTATTATTATTATTATTATTATTATTATTACGGGTTGCCTCCCGTTAAGCGCTAATTTAACGTCATTAGCTTGACGCCATTATTCCTAAACTTGGTAAAACAAACATATCTAACGGAGCACTATCCTCGAGAGTCTCTAACTTTTTCCGAATAACCGCCGTAAGGTGGCGCAGACCTAAATATTCGTGAAGCCAAGGAATAGTGAAAATCCTATAAAAAGAACTGATCACCCCCAAGCATAAAAGATATTCTGATAAAGTTAAAGGCTTGGGGATGCTCGACTTCACGAAAAGTGGTTCAAAGAGACCCTCTTTTTGTGGAAAAGTCTTCGGTGACTCAAGGTCTCTTTGAATGAGTTTTTCTAAGGGACTCTCTTCAAGATATACATTCTGGTCAAATTCAATAGAGCCCCCTAAATGATTAATGCCCTCGGACTTTTGTAAAAATTCTACCTTAAGTTCACTTTTATGTTCTCCATTTCCCTCGTTGAGAGACGAACAAACAGGTCCTTGATCGTCTCTTTTCTCTTCTACACCTAATGGAGAAACATTAAAGTTTTCCTCAGGCATTACTCCCTCCAACCCATTATTGTGATTTTCATTATTTACCCGAACAAGAATACCCTTATCAAGCAAGTTTTTCAATGTTTCTTGATATTCATCTTCAAAATTAGCCCAAAGATTTTCTTGTTCGAGATAATATTTATTTTCATCAAATTCCTCATCTTGAGATGGTTGGCCTAAAGAAGGTGTTCCTTCTTGCGCTATGTTTGATTCAACAATTTTATCCATCTCAATTTCCTCATCCTCAAATTCATTAGCTAACCATTCATTTTGATGAATTTTATTAGGTTCATTAGGTTTGAATTCTAATAATTCATAGAGATTTCCAATTTCCTTAAGAATTTCTTCTTTTTCGTTATTGAAAATCTCAAGATTAGAATCAGAATTTAGAGAAGAATAAGGAAAAGTATAACAAAGATCACCTTCTTCATTTACTAAACCCTTCTTCTTAAGAAATTCATCAAAATCAAGGTTAGTATATCTTTTTTATTCTATTTGCCCAATTAAATTTCTTATAATGCGATCCATGTCATTTTTTATTGATTTTAATTCATTACTAATCGCATCAAACTTATTAATAGGGCAAAATGAGGAATAAGGATAGGAATAATTCTCTTGATAATCAAAGTTATTGTAATTCTCCTCCTGCTCATAATTATTTTCATCGAAGAATCTAGAGGGATTATTACAATAATTTTGATTATCATAAAAATCACAATAATTATTTCGATAATTTGGTAAATGATCAAAATTATTAAAATGTCTCCCATGATCATAATCATCAAAATAATTATTATTCATAAGAGAATTGTAATGCCAATTGTTTTCAAAATCTTGATCATTACCAAAATTATCTTGTGAACAACCAAAATTACCATTATCACAATTATTCCACCTATTACCATTAAATTGATAATCATTTTCAATCATAGGTGGAATTTCATAAAAACTATTTTCATAATGGTAATTTTGGTTATAATCATTAGACAAATTATTTTCACAATATGGGTATGGCTGGTAATCATTAGAATGAGAATTATAAAAATTATTAAAACGACTCATAAAAATGTAAATAAGAAAAAAAAACAAATAAATCGAGTAAACTAAAAAATTTCCTATGAAAATAGAAAAACTAACTAAACCGTGCCACTCCCCGGCAACGGCGCCAATTGACGAAGCTAAATATAGCGGTAAGTCAATAAAATTAACCGAGACTAACTCGGGTCGTTTCACAAGGATTGGTAAAAGGAAGTATTTGTTAATTATCTTAATATTTTACTTCAAACAATTAATTTAGAGCAATCAAGTTCAAAGCAATAGCAGTAATAAGATTAATCCAAACAATAATTTAGAAACAGGTATGAATCGAACAAGTATATGGGCTAAGATAATAATTTTAGATTAAATTAACTTCTTAATTAATTTGATTTTATATCATTAACTTATCCATTTTTCAGGCTTCATTAATGTGTCTAAATATGGTTGGCTAGATTATTTTTCTTAACTCATAGACAAACTAGATAAATAATCTCCAAAGATTAATTAATAAATTGGCCAAATTTATTAATTAGTGAATCTCATTTTAGACAATTGAATCAAATTAATCAAGTTACTAACTTAATTTTAACTATTAATCATTAGCCCATACCCTTAATTCAATTCATACCTAAGTATAAATTTAGCCACTAAAAGCCATAAGTACACAATTTAAACTAAGCAATAAAGGATAATCTACCTATATACAAAGGCAGCAGCAAAAAGTTCCCGCTCAAATATTTTGACGGTTGCTCCATTTTTTATCGGTTAGCTTCTTAAAAACCGTATGAGGAAAACCTCCCATTATCTCAAGTCCATCACTTAATTCACTCTCGCAACCTGTGAACTTTAGCATGTTAATTGTCAATTGCCGCCAATAAGTCGCACGGGTTCGGCAGTTTGGTGCCGTCTCGCACCCAGGAATCGAAGCAGGGGCGGAATCGCCGGCGAGGACTGCAATTGGCAAACCGTAGTCCGTAAACGTCTAGGCTGTGATGGATTCGTTGGCGTCTTTGACAGGGACGGATCCGGAACTTGAGGACGCTCCTGGTACGGTGCGGCAAAAGCAACGGCGGTTTAATTTTTTTTTTTAGTTTTGACCAACTAGAAACTTCTTCAATACTCCATATAAATGAGGAGGGGTCCGATTGCAGAGAAGGCTGCGACTCCTCTATTTACCCGATCTGATTGCCTGCAAACTCCAAACCTTCCAGCAAACTCCAGCGACTCCTCTATTTAAGCTTTATGCTTTGAAAACTAACTAAATTGTCTCAAACCAATCAAAATTATTAACCTTCAATGTAACTAAAAAAAACAAAACAAAACTAATCTCAATTTTGCAATTTTCAAAAGCAAACCAAGTAATACTACAACATTTGACTATATTTTTTTCATTTCTCTTAACATTTTAATGTAGGTCTTAAAGTACCAATCTTTAAGAACATCACTGGTGCTTTCAATGATAGAAAGCAGGAAGTAAACAGTAGGTCAATAATAGGTTGCATCGAAGCTTTAAATTCTAACACACCCCTCCTAAGAAGATAAAACAATCGTGCTGGTCATGGAGTTCTAATTAATTGTAGTCCCAAAACTCCCCCAGTAACAAAAAAAAATCCAAGAATAATCGTTGTCACATGTTAGTCTACTACTTATAAAATCAGCCTTTAATTAATGGTCAATTTTAAATCATTATTTCACGTGCGACAAATCGAAAAAGATTGAAGATCTTGATTTGCAACGAAAAAATATTCCTCTCCGTCAGACCTGCATTGTTGTATATAAAAAATTCCAGAATTTGTGTTTATATCATGCAATATTAATTGATGAAATATATTACATATACATTATACGAACTCTTTATATAAAATACTAGAAGTTTTGTGACTTATCATCTTATCTCTAATTATGTACTCCCTCTGTCCACCATAGATCTTCCCAGACACTATTCACATGGTCAAACTTTACTCTCTTTGTTTGCTCAATTTTACTAGTCATTTCATAAAATAATATAGTCTTGTCACCTCTAGTTTTGTAGAACTTTTCATGTAGTTTATTACTATATAAATTTTATTTTAAAATTTTACTCATATAATCAATTAAATTGAATTGAAAATAAAGTCGGTCAAACCTCGTAACGCGTAATGGGAAGATCATACATGGATGGAGGGAGTATTATTTATATTTTTCATTACATTATGATATTTTTACCGTGCATCGCACGGGTTAGAATCTAGTTTTATTAATAAAGGAAGAGTATACAAGAAAGCTTACAGATTTTGAAGAACAGAATACAAATCTCACAAATCTTCAATTCAACGCTCTAAGATGTTAAAGAAGAACGCTCAAACTCAATAAGGATGAAAAGTGGAATTTTTGGGGGTGATTCAAAGACTTGAAAATTAACTTGGAATGATGAAATTTAACCCACTCAAATTTAGTACAATATTTATAAGTAAAAAGTGAAGATTTTTGCCCCAAAAAGGGGAAGAACCGATTGGAGAAGCCTTGGAAAAGGGGAGGACGTCGCTGCCATTTATAGGGGGGAGAGGATCGACCGGCGGACAAACCAGCGGCCGCCGGCCAGCCCGCCGCCGCCGCTGAGGAACTCTCCTGATCTCGCCGGACTACTGGTCGCCGTCGACAGGCGGGCAGGTAGGCTGCAGCCTGCCAGCCCGCCGGCGCTCCCTCTTGCTGCTGCTGATTTGTCCGCCGCCGCCAACCTGACTGGCGGCCAGGTAGGCTGCCGCCGGCCAGGCCTCCTACTGTGCCGCCCTGGTCCGTCGATGCTATCCTGCTTAAAATCTCGTTCTGAACACTTTTTCCTTCTGCACCGACTTCTAATTCCGCACTGATTGTGAGATAGAATTGTTTTTCTATTAAAATTTACTCTTTTTATTCCATTCTTGGCCCAATTTTACATATTACTTCAAAAGTATTCTGTTTATAATCAATTTATCAAAACATATGTTTTTGATAAAAAAGAATAAATAATTTATTGTTTTGATAATAAAAATGGTACAAGAACAAATTAAATATGAGTAAAAAGATAAGTACAAAACGGACTTATCAATCTACACGTAGGCAAATATATTGGATATATTGCTGGATTGACCCGCCATGAAAATACTATATGGGTATACCTTAAAATGTGTTAATAGTATTTTTCATACGACCATTTATAACTATCCTTAGACTTGAAGTCATTACGATTCTTGGTAAGTATAAGCTGTATGCTTTGAGATATAATTAATGCCATTTGACACATTAGTGGATATATAATTATGTTTTGGGTATGCAGTAAAACTTAAGCAAGGATGTGAATGACGTAGATAGGATGTATCCCTTCTTTTATGGAAGTATAATATCTACGGGCCCAATGATTGATGTGACTTGGGAAGTGTATGGCCATACCCAGATAAATTAATATACATGATATTAATGTTATCTGAATCCCACAAGTCAATCGAGGAATCAGTAAACCTTCGATTTAACTATAACAAGGTGACACATCCCATACCTTGTGTTAAGTCTAGATATTAGTGATAAAGGGATAATAGTTATTAAATGAAATGTGTCGTTGAAGGAATTGCTTTAAGAGCTTTATAACCGTAACTTGGGGGTGACAATGTGTTGCTAGATACCGCTTGTCACTTGTAGTATTTTAATACTATGGCTAACATTATGGGTAACCTAGAAGAGGGTCACACACATAGAGCATTTGATGGTGTAGAATATTGTTAAAGGAGTGAAGGAAATATTTAGTAAAATATATTGTACATATTGCGTGTGACACAATAATTTAAATATATGTATGTTTGACATTTTAATTATGTGAGAATTAAGTTTGTCAAAATATGCTAAACTAAAGATTATTCATTTATATATATATATATATATATGTATATATATATATATATATATATATATATATATATATATATATATATAGACACACACACACACAGATATATATATATATATTTTTTTTATATAAACAAAGTTTATTGAATGGAAAAGAAAAGTACAATGAAAAGTACAAAGAAGAAGGGTGGCTAAACCCGAACAAAGCCCAAATCTTGAAGAACTGTGGATCCAACCCCTAATGGGCCGTCCAAATAAAGATAACAAAAGAAGAATAGATTTACAGAAAATCTACATAATCATAATCTTCTTCAAAGTGGTCATGTAATTCAGAGATTTTAGCTTTGAGAGCTATGTGAGCATCCGCTGCCCGAGCCTTTTTTAATTTCGTCTTCGCTTTCTTTTTCTGATTTTTGGTAAGTTTCCGCTGGGGGCTTTGAGGTACCAGGGCAGGTGCACAAGTCATCTTAGTTTGAATGGTTAGACAGCTTCTTTTGA